CCAAGAAAGGTGCACCTTAGGGTTCTATCCTTTCACCATACTTATTCAATCTGTATCCTGAGCAAATAATCTGAGAAGATGGACTATATAAAGAAGAAAGTGTCATCAGGATTGGTGGAAGACTCATTAACAACCTGTGATATGCAGATGACACAACCTTCCTTGCTGAAAGCAAAGAGGACTTGAAGTGCTTACTGATGAAGATCAAAGACTACAACCTTCAGTATAGATTACACACTTCGACATAAAGAAAACAAAAGTCCCCACAACTGGACCAATAAGCAGCATCATGATAAACAGAGACAATATTGAAGTTGTCAGGGATTTCATTTTACTTGGATCCACAATCAGTGCCCATGAAAGCAGCAGTCTGGAAATCAGATGACGTATTGCTTTGGGAAAATACGCTGCAAAAGACCTCTTTACAGTGTTGAAAAGCAAAGACATCACTTTGAGAACTAAGGTGCACTGAGCCAAGCCATGGTATTTTGAATCGCCTTACCGTGAACATCCAGAAGAAGGAACAAGTCTGTCTTGGAAGAAGAACAGCCAGAGTGTTCCTTGGAAGTAAGAGTGGTGAGACTTCCTCTTGTGTGCTTTGGACATGTTATCAGGAGAGAACAGTTCTTGGAGAAGCACATCATGCTTGGTAAGATAGAGTGTCAGTGAAAAAGAGGAAGACCCTGGATGAGATGGAATGATACAGAGGCTGGCAACAATGGGCTTCAACATAGCAACTATTGTGAGAATGGTGCAGGACTGGTCCGTGTTTCATTCTGTTGTACATAGTGTCGCTGTGTGTCAGAACCGACTGGATGTCACCTAACAACAACAAAAAAACACCTAGAAAATTTTCCTGACACATAGTAGGACCTTAATGATCAAATATTTCACTCTGTTACACGTTTCTTTATCCCGGCTTCTCAAATACACATTTCTGAATTAGCTTTCTCCCTGCATTTAGCAATAACTAGATTCAGTATGGTTTGCAGATGCATTGGAAATGGATTCAACATGTGAAATATCAGAAGGAAAAAGGAGGTTTAAGCCTTGTAAGGTTCAAAGGCCATTTGTCCCCTTGATATTGATTTTCTTAAATCAGATAGTTTAGCCAAGACCCTGGGAGAAGTAATTGAACTGACAACAGACTGGTCCAGGTTATTAATAATTGAACAGCCTTAGACATTCTTTATGGCTTAATTTAATGACAGATGTGAGGTCTGAAACCAAAATGCCTGGGAGATGGGGTCAATGGCTGGGTCTCTGATGGAGAAAGGACAACACAAGTTATTCCTAAGAGTTTATTTTGTAGAACAAAACATTAATGAAAGTCTGAAACATGAGGCCAGAGGAAATGGTTTTGATTTGCTCTTTTTAACAACACAAAATTTTGAAAGCTTGGAAAGTTCCCATTATATTTTCTTTTTTGCCCTTAATTTAGAAAATAGATGTGATTAGAGTTATGGAATTTTGGAACCTTAGTGAGCAACTGAAGGGTAGAGATCATGGACATCCTATTTATCTTTTAATGCCCTGGATCACAGTATCAGTTTTACTGTCTATTAATTTCATTACTTTGAGCAAGTTAGCTAACCTCTCTGAGCCTGTTTCAACATCTGTAAAATGGAGATGTTAATATTTCTTTGAATTGCAGAAGAAGATTTAAAAATTTTAAAAAGTATATAAAAATCCCTGGCACTGGAAATTATATAATTCCCCACACAATAAGTATTTATTGCATAATATACTACAGTACATGAATTATGATGCTTTCTTCTCTTGTACGGCCTCTGCATACAAAGGCCAGACTATGGTAACCCTTGAAAGCTCTCCCCTTTCTCTGGCTATTCTGGCTGTCCTAGGTCTGTTCCTCATCATCTCTTCTTTGGATTATTTCAGTGGTCACTGGATGTCTTTTAGCCTGAAGTTCTCTCCTTTGTCCCAATCTCTCCTCCCCACTTATGACAAAATTAAACCAAAACCAAACCCATTGCCATCGAGTTAATTCTGACTCATAATAACCCTATAGGACAGAGTAGAACTTCCCATAGGGTTTCCAAGGCTGTAATCTTTTTTTTTTTTTTTTTATGGTTAGCATTTTTTATGTATTTGTTTGTTTATTTTATTGTGCTTTAAGTGAAAATTTACAATTCAAGTTAGTTTCTCATACAAAAATTTATACCCACGTTGTTATGTGACCCTAGTTGCTCTTCCTATACTGTGACAGCACACTCCTCCTTTCCACCACGGATGTCCCGTGTCCATTCAACCAGCTCCTGACCTTCTCTGCCTTCTCATCTCACCTCTAGACGGGAGCTGCCCATTTAGTCTCGTGTCTACTTTAGCTAAGAAGCACACTCTGCATGAGTATCATTTTATGGCCCATAGTCCAGTCTAATCTTTGTCTGAAGAGTTGGCCTCGGGAATGGAATGGTTTTAGTTTTGGGCTAACAGAGAGTCTGGGGGCCGTGTCTTCCAGGGTCGCTCCAGTCTCAATCAAACCATTAAGTCTGGTGTTTTTACTAGAATTTGAGTTCTGCACCCTGTTTTTCTCCTGCTCCAACAGGGACTCTCTTTTGTGTTCCCTGTCAGGGCAGTGATTAGTGGTAGCTGGCCACTATCTAGTTCTGTTCTCAGGCTGATGGAGTCTCTGGCTTATGTGGCCCTTTCTGTCTCTTGGACTAATATTTTCCTTGTGTCTTTGGTATTCTTCATTCTCCTTTTCTCCAGGTGGATTGGGACCAATTGATGCATCTTAGATGGCCACTTGCTAGCTTTTAAGACCCTGGACTCCACTCACCAAAGTGAGATGAAGAACATTTTCTTAATAAACTTTGTCATGCCAATTGAGATAGTTGTCCCCTGAAACCATGGTCCCTAGACCCCCACTCCTGCTATTCTGTCCCTTGAAGTGTTTGGTTGTATTCAGGAAACTTCTTAGGTTTTGGTTTAGTCCAGTTGTGCTGACTTCCCCTGTAGTGTGTGTTGTCCTTCCCTTTACCTAAGATAATTCTTGTCTACTATCTAGTTAGTGAATATCCCTATCCCTTCCTCAGATCATTAAAGAATGTTTTCTTCTGTGTTTAAACCTTTTCTTGAGTCCTTACAATAGTGGTCTTATACAATATTTGTCCTTTTACCACTGACTGAATTCGCTCAGCATAATGCCTTCCAGATTCCTCGTTATGTTTCACAGATTCATCGTTGTTCTTTATCATTGCATAGCATTTCATTGTGTGAATATACTATAATTTGTTTATCCATTCATCCGTTGATGGGCACCTAGGTTGTTTCCATCTTTTTGCTATTGTGAACAGTGCTGCAGTGAACAGGGTTGTGCATATATCTATTTGTGTGATGGCTCTTATTTCTCTAGGATATATTCCAAGGAGCAGGATAGCTGGATCGTATGGTACTTCTATTTCTAGCTTTTCAAGGAAACGCTAAATTGATTTCCAAAGTGGTTGTAACATTTTACATTCCCACCAACAGTGTGTAAGTGTTCCAGTCTCTCCATAACCTCTCCAGCATTTATTATTTTGTGTTTTTTGGATTAATGCTAGCCTTGTTGGGGTGAGATGGTATCTCTTTGTAGTTTTGATTTGCATTTCTCTAATGGCTAATGATTGTGAGCATTTCCTCATGTGTCTGTTAGCTGCCTGAATGTCGTCATTGGCGAAGTGCCTGTTCATATCCTTTGCCCATTTTTTAATTGAGTCATTTGTTTTTTGTTGTTGTTGAGGTTTTGCAGTATCTTGTAGATTTTAGAGATTAGACGCTGATCAGATTTGTTGTAGCCAATAATTTTTCGCAGTCTGTAGGTTGTCTTTTGACTCTTTTGATGAAGTCTTTTGATGTGCGTAAGTGTTTGATTTTTAGGAGCTCTAGTTTCTCTTCTGGTATTAGTGTATTGTTACTTTTGGTTTGTATTCTGTTTATGCCATGTATTAGGGCTCCTAGCATTGTCCCTATTTTTTCTTCCATGATCTTTATCATTTTATATTATATATTTAGGTGTTTGACCCATTTTGAGTTAGTTTTTGTCCAAGGTTGTAATCTTTATGGAAGCAGACTGCCACAGTTTTCTCCTACAGAGCAACTGGTGGGTTCAAACTGCTGACCTTTTAGTTAACAGATGAGCACTTTAACCACTGCATCACCAAGGCTCTTTTTATGACAATACTGTTTACTAAAATAAACGTTGTATCACTTTTAACTATACTACCTTGCTGGAAGGGCTTTAGATATCTAGAAAACCCCACTGTCTCATTTTAAAGGTGAGAAAACTAAGCCCAGTGAGAGGAAATGACTTATTTGAGCACTTTTGCAGTTAATGCTGAGATCATAATTGAGCCCAGCACCTCTGGCTCCTATCAAAGGCATAGCAAAGGAGATGGAGAAAAAGACATATCTTCTAGTGCTAATCAATGGAGGTACCTAGCAGTTGGAAATTTTTTGTATTTCAATTTTGCACTCAGTTATTACTTTTAGTTTTGTTGAACTTCAAATTCATTGGTTTACCCAAATGATAATATTATTCATTTCCATTAAAATTCTAGGTCAACCTAGAGAAAGAGGTCACAATTAATAATAGCTTAAACGTATATAGCATTCACTGTATACCAAGTACTTTACATGTAATAACTTATTTAATTCCCGTCAGAACTTGATGAGGTAGGTACTGTCATTATCCCCATATTTTTAAATGGGGAAACTGAGGCACAAAGATTTAGTAGTTTGGGAAGGTCACACAGCTTGAGAGTGGTAGAATTGGGATTAAAACTCAGGCTACCAGATTCTAGAGTCTGTGCTCTTAACCACTGTGCTAAACTGGAACCGACACATTGCGTTCCATGGCTGTCATTTATCCTCACTATACAGTTGGTCGCTAGTCCATATGGCTCCCTTTAACCCTGCTTATTGTTTCCTGTTTTAATTATCAGGAGTGGCAACTTGCATAATATAGTCTTTTGATGAACTTTCTCCTCATTCTTTTTCAGAGGGTCATTTTCAACATTGTTAACTTCAGCAAGACCAAGAGTCTTTATAGAGATGGGATGGCCCCTATGGTGAAATCTACCAGCAGACCAAAATGGTAAGTGACCCATGGAATAGGACACCTTTCTGGTTGGAGAATTTGACCCAGGACACAAGTGTATCTGCTGTGTAGCTAGGGCTCAGCCTTATTGTCACTGACAGGAATAAGATGAGTTTCTGGATGGCCATTGTCTGGGCTCTAGGTACTGTTCTTTGAGAGTGTTGGAATAGAGGACATCGTCCCATGATTGACTGACCAACATGCTATTATGAGGGAAGGTACGATTTGTTATTTGGTTAGGTTCCTGTCCTGTTTGCCTTTTATTATGGTATGTTTGGAAGCATAATTGAAGTTGGTTCTATATATTTTTTCCTAAGCTTAGATGTTGTGAAGTAACCTAGAGCAGAGACATTGGGAACTACAGTTCAATAGATTTCCCTTGTTTTCATGATTTTGTGTGTGTGTGTGTGTGTTTTCGGTGGATGTGGACCATTCCTCTGGTGAGGAGGAGGGAAGTTGAATTGGATTGCTTAATAATAGTAATAATGATGATATGATGATGATAGTGATTGATGATAACTACTTCCGTTTACTGAGAGCCTATAGTCGGAATCAACTCGACAGTGACAGATTTGGTTTGATATTATATGTCACATGTTTTCAAATCCACCAGCCACTCCTTGAAAACCCTATGGGGCAGATCTGCTCGGTCCTATAGAGTTACTATGAGTCGGAATTGACTCAACAGCACTGGTTTTTACATTTACTGTTACTAATTCTCACAACAATTTTGTGAGGGAGATTTTGTATATCTCACATTACAGATGAAGAAATTGAGGCTAGGAGAGGTTGTTACTTTCTCAAGATCATAGATAGTAAGGGGAAGAGTCTGTATTATTTATATTTCCCCACTCTGCCTTTCCAACCAATTCATTCATTCAGCCACCCATTCATTTATTCATTCAGTAAGCATTGAGTGCACCAAAATAAGAGATTTTGAAGACAGTAGTCATTTATTATTCATCTATCACACAGTAGGTGTTAAGTGAATGCTTGTTGAACTGAATTGAATTAATTATGAGAATGTACATGTAGAGTGCCTGACACTTGATAAGTGCTCTATTATTAATAGTAGTATGTAAAACACTATACAAATGTAAGGAATTGTTAATATTATTCTAGCTTTGATCCTTGTTCAAATTTTAATGACAAGTGAGAAGATCGTTTCTAAATGTCTGTATTTATAGAAAACTAGCAATTCATAAATACTGACTTGTGCTTTTGTCTACAACTGATACTTAACAATTTCTATAAATGCTGGGTGAGAAGCTCAGGTTTGTAAAAATGTAAACAGTTGATAATGAAAACTGTTTATTAAAAATACCTCCCTGGACCTATGCATTGCTTTGCTGCAGCTGGTCCAGTTGTACTGATGTTTATTCTCCCAATCTCTTTTTAATAATCTCTATCAATCTCTTTTTGAGTCTGGGCAAGGACTAAGCCTTTGCTTTGAGTGTCTGAACCCAGCCCAAGCTGATAATTATAGGGCCCATCTCTGTGCAACTAGGAATATGTGTAGATATATATCACAAACCTTGCCAGCAAAAGAACATCACTGTTGATTTGCTTAGGAAGGCCTTCAAGAAAACATTGTGCTTCTTTTTCCAGGTAATGTGTTGGGATGTATACAGTAACAATTACCATCCTCTTTTACCAAGTCTTCAGTTCTGAGTCTTTTTTTCCCCCTCTTTTTGTGCTTTTGAAAATCCTTATGCCTTAATTATTTTATTTTGCTTTGTTTTGTTTGGGTCCTCTCTGTTAGGGCGCTTCGTAAGATTTTGAAATATTAATGAGTCATTGAATTTCTCTTATAATACTTTAGAATTAAGTTAGTCCTGTTACCCAAGGTTGGCAGGCTCTCAGCGGCTGCCATTGTCCAGTCACGGGGCTTCTCTAATGGTCTGAAAGAGCCTGAAGTTTCAGAACTGAGTTCGATAGACTTCATCGAGCCAGATAGGTGCAAGGTACCGTAGCAAATCAAGTTGTTTATATATCTTGTCTCTCCTAATTTTTACTTTATCATCCCCAGACCTTGAATATGAAGCTATTCACATTCCTTTATGGTCCTTTCCTCAAGCCAGACATTTAGCTATGTGTTTATTTAATAGGACTTTATTGAGCACATTATATGTGTCATGTACTGTTCTAGGTATTAGGGATAAAGTATAAATATGACAGAAAATATCTGTCCCAAAAGGGAATTTTCATTTTAGAATTTCATTAACTTTTCTCTACAAACCATAATTGTTACTCACTCCTTTCCACTGGATTGTTCTGAGGATTCATTAGCCCCCGCTTAGTGCTTTCTGCTTAGGACTGTCTTCTATTCTCTGTGTCAATGACCTGTATCAGAACCTATCCCCCAATAGCCATTATCTTAAATGTTCACAGGGTTACACAACATTGCCATGTTCTAGACAATGGCCAGACTCAAGTCTGACGAATGCCTTATAGAACCTAATGATAGGATATCTTCTCCAGGGTCTTTTTAATTTTAGCTTTCTTAATACCAAAGCAACCACTGTAACGAAAGGGGAAGTTTCTGGTACTTATCTTCTCCAGGGCCTTTACCTCCTTTGATATTCCAAACAGACCATGGAAAAACCCTTAAGTCATGACAAACATTAAATATCTTGAATTACCTGAACTATTTATACCAAGGGAAATAGTTCCCTGGTGGCACAGTGGTTAAAAGCTGCTAACCAAAAGGCGGGCAGTTGAGCCCACCAGCCGCTCGGACTGAGAAAGATGTGGCAGTCAGCTTCTGTAAAGATTACAGCCTTGGAAACCCTATAGGACAGTTCTACCAAAGGAGCCCTGGTGGTGCAGTGATTAAGTGCTCGGTGGCTAACTGAAAGGTCAGCAATTCTAACCCACAAGCCCCTCCATGTGAGATCTACTTCTGTAAAGATTACAGCCTTGGAAACCCTGTGGGGCAGTTCTACTCTGTCCTATAGGGTCACTATGAGTCAGAATCCACTCCGTGACAATAGTTTTGGTTTTGGGTTTGGGTATTTATATCAAATTAGGAGGACAAACTATGTTTTCAGGATGAAATAAACATTCTTCACGTCTCTCACTGGGGACTATAACTGATCCCAAACAAAGATGTCTTCAGGGCTTAGCATAGGTCTGGTAATCAATTAGTTGTGGAAAGCAAATGAGCAAAAGAAGCAACTGAGCAGCCATTATGCAAATGTATGGCCACTCTACACTGATCTGCCATGAGGAGATAAAGTCAGAATATTTAGCAGCAAATGGAGAAGGTGGAAGATTCAGAAGTGTTTTGCCTGTTTTAGTTCACTCTAATTTTGTTTACATATTACCGTATTTTTACACAAATAATGACAGCCTTCTAAGTTTGTTTGCCAACCGCCCTCCACCCTACCCGGGTAAGCACGCTGTGCTTTTTTTTTTTTTTTCGTGCAGCAGTGGTAGAGCTCTTAAGTATTGTTGTTAGGACTCTGTAGCATCAGATTTCTACAGCTATAACCATACCTCATTAATATTTCCTAACAGTGTATAAGGCTAAGATTGCTATGTGGTAAGCACTGCTGGGAACTGACATTACAAGACAGACATGATCTATATCCTCACCTATGCAGAAACCAAGGCTAGGAATATTTACACAATTAGTAAGTGGTGGCACCAGTTAAAGACTTCATTCACCTGACAATTCAGTATTCCTCCCGTATTCCATTCATGGGGATGGAGTAGAAGAAGGCACAAAGAAGTGGGAAGTAGTGTGCTACTGTGTGACCTTTGGTACATCTGAAAAAAACTTCTCTGATTCCCTTGGCCATTACAGTAGAGATTGACGAAATTAAACTAATCTTAGAGATGTCTTCCATTTAACACATTTTTGTTGAGCATCTACTCTGTGCTAGGTCCTGGCATGAAAAATATGAATCAGTTATGGATTCCGTCTTTAAAGATTTTATTTTTTAGAGGATGAAATGAAACATAAACACAAATAGCTAAAATATAAGGTGCATTGTGCTAAGAACTATTAGTGAGGTATATAAAGTGTGCTGTGGGATCAGAGAAGAGAAAGAAAATTATATCATTATCATTTGGAGGATAAAAGGAGAGGCCTTAAGGAGCAGGTGGTGTTTCAGCTAGATTGCAAGGAATGAAACATGAGTAAAATTAAGGAAATGGGATTCTAAGTGGGGGAAATATAGCCCATGATGTAGCCACGCTACATCTTTTATGAGCCTGATTGTAAAAAGTGCATAATAATGCTTTCTCATAGGCTTGTTATAAGAATCAAATGTGAAATGGATGTGTAAATACTTTTTAAAGTCTTAAGTGTTGTCTTTTCTGTTTCTTTCCACCTGACCCACTCAGTATTGATTAAGCATAATCCCTCCCTTTGTTCATTCCTTCTTCCCTTCCTCTCTTCCTTACATCCATCAGTAAATGCTTACTGAGTAAGTACAATGGACCAATCATTATGCAAGCCATTAGGACATAACAGTGACAAAAGACATATGATTATGGTTCTCATAAAACTTATAGTCTACTGGATTAGGATTCAACATGTAACTCTAGTAAACTGTGAAACTGTTACAATAGCGGGAATTCAGCATGCTATGGAAACTATTTAGCATGATACTTAATCTACTTCAAGGATAAGAGGATTTCCTTAGGAAGTGTTTTTTATGCTGAGACCTGAAAGATGAATAGGAGTTAGATCATAGGAGATGAGGATATGTGTGAAGTAACAGAATGTGTTTGAAGGCCAGGAAACGGCAGAGGTTATTACATCTTTCATGAGCAAAGGCCAATGCAACTGGAGCATGAAATTCTAAGGAGACAGTGACTGGAGAGGTAGATAGGAGTGAAATTGTGGTGAGCCTTGTAAGCCATGCTGAAGAGTTGGACTTAGTTCTAAGGGCAAAGTAAAGAAATTGTAGGACAGTACATAATCATATTGACATTTTAGAAAGATCAGTCCTGCTGCTGAATAGAGAATATCTTAGAGGGGAGGATAA